AGGGAGAGATGGCGCAAGTGGGGGGCGAACATCCAAGTCTGGGTCAACTATTTATTCGCTAGTGTCGGTTGGAAGGCGCAGCGGTGGAAGCAAGTAAAAAATAAGCTTCTTTCGGGTTGATGGGTCGAAGAAACATTGTGTAAGGTTATGCGTGCCAGCTACCCGTGGGACAGGGGGATGGTGCATTTGATGGAGAGTATTAATCAGTCAAGTACATTTGAATAGGCAACACGCTGAACAACATGTGCTACAGGATCAGCGGCTGGCACTGCGGTACGGAGTGGATTTAGTGGTGAAACAGATGTCCGAAAGCGCATGGTGTTGGGTGAACGACCATCTACTCAGATGTGACGTGGCAGGAATAAGGTTGTGTGTGTACAATGTCGATGGTTCAGCTGCAAAGGAGGTACACAGTTAGGGAATGAGGTTAGGTAAGATGGAGGGAGGGAGCTAAAATAATAAGTCATACAGGCTCGCACCAGCTGTGTGAGGCTAGGGTGAAGGGAGGAGCAGAAGACCCGACATAATTATTGGATTTGAGCATGATCAGTCACGACTTTTGGAGTGGGTAGAGAGTTACCGGCGGCTTGATCAGACTTAAGCTGCGAGACGGCGACATGAAGTGCAGCGAATTGCTCTGCAAGTGACTGGGATGGTCGGTGAGAGGGAGTGGAGGGTCCGCTGAAATCGGAGTCGAAGCCGGTATTAACGACAGGTGGAGGAGGCAGAAACTGGCCAGACTGAAGTTGTTCGCTTGTCTTTGGGGAGACACTGTTGCGACGAGTGACCACGGGAGAAGCCTCCAAGCTGTTGGCCTCGGAAGTGTAGTTCGAGTCCAAAAGGCCGTTCTTGGCAGCAAGGGACAGCAGCTTGGAGGCTTTCAGCGCACTCAGTGTACCGCTCAGTTTGTGCTCCTGCATCCGATCGTAGATAACACCATGGACACCCAGGTTTTTTAAGGTCTGCATGTTCTCTGAACTGTTGGCGGCTGAACCCCACACCAACAGGATAAGACCTAGGGTCCTGGCAAAAGCCGCCATCTCGGGATTCCGCAGAATGTCGTCGCAATTCACGCAAACGCCCTGACGGAAAAAGAAAATTTCTGTTGAACTCAGAATGTGAAACCTCTGACTTAAAGTAGACTAGGAAAGAGCTGATAATTAAAATATCTCTAGGACATGGCGGGAACGAGTCATAAGGTCGAAGCAATTATTGTCCACCATGTAATCAATTTCGATTACTCATTCCTACTACTTAGAATACATATTTTAGTCTTTAATTTCAATCAGTTCCTTTAAAGGACTGAGATAAATTGATGCCATCGCTTTGAGGCCGTGCAGGAGTTAACTTGCCGATAATCGAAACAACACAGGCCTTTCACTTTTACGTAACCTGCGGTCCTGTAAAATCGCCAAAATTACGAAGCGACTAAAAATTAGAGACAGTCACCACCGGACGCCGCTCTTCTCCCCTGCTCTTCTTCTTACATAGCACATATATGAGATGAGATATGAGATATCCGTCCGGTGGCAAGGAAACTAGTAGCCGGCAAGGATGGTTAGGATGTGTGGTGATCAAGTTCGTTGCTTGGTATCATAGTACGCACACAGTTGGCATATACTACAAGCGAATATTTTAGCACATAATAAATTCAAGGACAGAGAAATTTAGTGACGAAGTCATAGCACATACAAGCAACTCGTTCGCTTTTGCGGAATAGCAAAGGTTTTCGAAGCTTTGTTGTCGAATGTCTGCGTAATCGAGGTCGAAGCCAAGCTGAAAGACCGGATACCGAAGCTGCTTCATTTGGAGCCTGAAATGCGAAAAAAATAGGACGGATTTCGACTCTGCTGCTTCTGAACATGCAATCGGCAGAAACTATAGAGTATGGCAAAACGCAAAACTATGAGTGCATGCTTTTTTAGCAAATGTTGCCGTTCTTTTACAAATAGGTAAAAGAAACGAAGAAACGATACATGTACACATATATGTGTAGAACAGTAGAGACAAGGACAAGGGAGACTAGGATGGCTATTTCTGATTTATTAGCTGTCGTCAGCCAGCCATACCCAGGCCCAACTGGTGTCCCGCTCGAGTTACGAACTCACGACCTTGTTAGTTAGAAGCCCAACGCTCTAAATACTGCGCCACGGGGTCGTTTTTTTGTCAGTTTTTCATCGGGAATAAACAGTGCGAGATAGGCGCACACCGATCAGTTACAGGACACACTTGTCTACCTCTGGTGCTTTCGGAGCTCTCCCTCTCGAGCCCTTATTAGCCGTCATCCACCAGTCATACCTAGTCCCAGGTAGGGATCACCCGAGATTCGAACTCATGACCTTTCGGTCATAGAGTAAACATTCACGCATTGCACCACACTGACTCCACACTTGGGATTAGGAATGACTGGCTGATAAGACAGAAATGGCCACTCTGGTGTCCTTTGTCGGTTCCACTCCATCACATAGATATATAACACTTGTTTGCACACAACACGGACTGCTGGAGATAAACAACTCCAATGTGCAACTCCAAATGCTTCACGCTACGGCGAGATAGTCGAATATTGAACTATAATTACCTCAACAGTGCAGGTCTTCAGGAAGTGGCTGACCTGATACGATCTAGTGGCTGGGAAAGTGTACTGCGGTGGCATTCAAAAGAAAGTGTGTACACTACGAAGGACAGTATTCCGTAAATATCTAAAAATACTTGGTCATTATTCATGAATCCGGGGCAGACAAGAAACATAAAATAGGTAGTAAAGAGTCTAGTAAAATGAGAATATGTAAGGCATGCATCCCACCGCAAAGGTATTTCACAAATGCATGCCTCTGTGTTGAAAAGACCTTATTACTCGCTAAGTTTGGCAAGGATATTAGAGAAAGCACCTAAACTGAGGTCATAGACGACAGTTCGAGTGGCTTTTATGACTATTTCCACCATGTGTCCCACGGCGTGATGGACACAGGGGGCGGTTACTTGCGCAGTAATTAGATTATATTGACAGCAGACTTACGCGGGATTTACTTCATTCTTTTCGCCTTCACGCATCGGTGCCCAGCATCAGATTATAGGAAAGCATGACGACAATAATAAGAAAAGACTAGTAGACACACTCGAACACCTTTTTTACTGTAATAGTGAATGCACAGGAATAGCCTTATGCATTCAACTACGAAGTTGTATCATCCAACTCTCTTCGTATATGAAGATCATGGTTTATTTGAGACTCTGTTACTCACTTTGGTAATGAAGGAATTGAGCAGTTCAATATCAGCGTCGAAAAGGAAACGATCCAGAATGTAGAATACACTTGCAAACGGCAAAAATTTGGGTTTTGGATACTTCCTTGTCCAGTAACCAGGCAACCTATTATAGCCACTGGCGACAATTGTTACAGTCAAGCACTCTATTTATTCTCGCGAGAAAAAAAACGATCCAGGCGTTCTGCGCAGACACGCGTTTGTAATGACGTTGCATCGAGACACAGCATAGCCAGGCGCGTGCATAATTCAGTGTCCAAATACGGTCTACAAGTGGCCTTGACCGAATGGCATGCTTAGTTTGGACCGCTTACTGCGCCGCATATGCGTGCATTTAACAAAAGCGATTGATGGCTAACAAGGCAGGTATATGAACAGCCCGAAGGCCCTGCACCCTATCCAGAACAGTTGGGTGATATCGACGGCGGAGCCCGTCTCTGGTGGTGGAGTCACGCA